GATTTTGCTCTATCACAACTATCAATTTTGTCTACCCAGGTTTCCCTCGCAAGGCCTAACCGTGGTATGGTTTTCAGACGCACACTGGGATCGACTCCCTAAGTGGATATTATCAAGTGATGAGATTCCAATTCGGGTCTCATGGCCGGAAAGCCAACGTTGTAACAATTGGGCCATGACCATATATGTTTATGCATATCTTTATAAAATAGCGGGCAGTTTGAATAGAGATGAAAAGTATAGTGTCTTGACAAAATCTTATTTGAATAGTCTTTTAAAAAAAAATGACAGACAAGGTTATGACAGAAGTAGGTTAGCATTGCTCCACTTTCTTGCCCTCAAGGAAAGATTTTTGGCTCGGCAATACAATGTAGATTAACAACCTTTGCTATGAGTTGTCCCACACCCTAAAAAAAAATTACTCGCTAATCCCATTTAACCTTGCATTAAAAAAAAAAAAGATTTAATGAAGTATGTTACTTTATACACTTCCAAGGCCAGAGGAAATGGGCTTTTCCAGACAATACATTACACCTGCTCGTGTACACTCATACACGAACACACACCTCCAAAATGTTTTTAGATAATCTATACAATACCGGTTAAAAATAAGAGAATGATTTAATAAGAGCTATATTGGAATAATAGTAACTACTACAATTATTGGAAATTTGAAAAAAAAAAATTGTTGGTTGATTTTGTTTAGCGGTATATCAACCACTATTGGTTATTTAACGCAGTAATCTGAATATATGGAACACAATTTTATGACCTCAACTACAGCTAAAATGAATTGTTGGTCATTTTGCTATGAAATGATGTTGATAATTTTTTTTAAGATAAAAATGTCTTTTTATATTTCCATAGTATTTTGTTTGGGAAGGGGTTCACTTTTTACCGATAGCTGGGACCCTAACAGTTGCTACCACACCGAGTCAGGGTGGACCTGGGAACAACAGCAATTAAGAGACTGTTCCACACTCCACAAAATCTTCAATCTCCAGATCAGAGGCCTTGCTGCCGGATGTAGTTTATCGTCTATATAGGCTATATAAAAATTGTAGTTATTGACAAATGTCAGTTTTTTTTTTCACAAATAAGATTTCAGGCAAAAGAGACGTGGTTCTAGAAAAGAATGCCAAGAAAATTCCATAAGACACTCCTACTTACAACCAGAGACAGTTGAAATTTATGGAATGTATAAAGATGTTAGGGAGTAGCTGAACACCCCCACAAGATGAACTTGTCTAAGACTATTTAAGCAGCACTCTCTCTCTCTCTCTTACTGTGGGAGAGCAGTTATTGATTACAGTTAATTCAACTTGTCGAACTCTTTACCCTCAGGCAGGGAGGAACCCAGACGAGGCTATGCCAAAAGGTAGTGTCTTGTCTCAGGAGGTTGACAAACCCGACCCCGTGTATGCGGGGTCGACGGGGAATTTTTGCCTGAGCCAACGGGCTCGGATTTGCCTCACACAAAAATTGGCCTTCATCGTGCGTCGTGGGGAGGTTTGGTAAATACCGAGTAGTTAGCGATTAGATTTCGTTAAAGATCTGCTAGCCGACCTCTCTGCCTGAGCGTACGCGCTCGGAAAACTCACATTAAAAGCCGGCCTTATGCCACATCCAAAAGTGGAAAATTGTCTTGCTTGGGGTGAAATGATTAAAAATAAAGCAATAATCAAATTAATGAGTTATTTTTAAATGGTACATAATTTAAGAAAAGCACTATTCAGATATAACATATAATTTATCGCTGTCAAGGCCGCGTAAACGTTTTGGAAGTTTGTCATGGCAGGAAAGTGAAGATTGTGCAGCTCCAGCTGCAAATATAGAGCATGGCAGTAGAAGACTATTTACATTATTCGTACTATTGTCCTCACCTTTGTCGCCATATTTATTACAACGTTTCGGTCTTTCAGTATCTGTCTATATTTCTGAGATGAGGTATTATGTACATTATTTACATTATTCGGACTATTGTCCATCTTTGTCGCCACATTTATTACAACGTTTCGGCCGTTGTACACCCCGGCCTTCTTCAGGTGATTGGAATGTCGAACTGAACCCTTTATTTCGCTCACTGGAGTAGACTGTTCTAGTTCCACGTTCCATGTTTAATGGATGTCAGTTATCAGTTATCTCCTGTTAATTCCCCTCTCAAAGTTCTCCACTGCCTTAACCGGGTAATGAAGTCACACTCTTTGGGTCCTGTCATGTCACAGTGGATAAAGGCGTTAGTTAGATCCAGTGACAGGACCCAAAAAGTGTGAGTTCAATACCCGGTTAAGTGGAGAACTTGGAGAGGGGAATTAACAGGAGATAACTGACATCCATTAACATGGCACGTGGAACTAGAACGGTCTACCCCATTGAACGAAATAAAGGGTTCAGTTCGACATTCTAACCACCTGAAGAAAGCCGGAGCGTAGAACGGCCGAAACGTTGTAATAAATATGGCGACAAAGATAAGGATAATAGTCCGAATAATGTAAATAGTGTACATAATACCTCATCTCAGAAATATAGACAGATAATGGTAGAAGTTAATTACTCTCTGGATTGTTACCGACCATTTCTCCAGCTGTCCTGGGTAAGACGATAAACTACATTCGACAGCAAGGCCTCTGATCAGGAACTTTTGAGGAGCGTGGAACCACCTATTAATTGCTGTTGTTCCCTGTTCCACCCTGAGCTGGAGTGGTAGCACCTGTTAGAGTCCCAGCTAAACTTGGGTCAAAACGCTATGAAAGCAATAAATTTTTTGAGGAAAGGAAAAATTATTACCAGCAATACGTTTTTGAGAGAAAATATTAGCAGCAATAGATTTTTTGTCAGTAATTACTGTCAGCAATAAAAATCTTGTCGGCATTAAATAAACCATTGAGATTGATAGGCTGTAAAACAAACCAAAGCATTTCTCCAGTGTCTTTCGTGATGGATCGTATGTATGATTTCCACTTGTGGTCTGGAATGAACTTGATTTCCCCATAGGCATTCAAGGCAAGGAGCATCATTGAAATTACAGCCGTTCATGATGAGTAGAGAAAGCTCACGGTCTTCTTGATGATGATGATGATAGTTTACTAGCTTGGTGGTACAGAATGTTACAAGATAGTTCCTTCCGCACTGAGCTGTGAGAGCAAGATGAGAGTACAGATCACCTTAATGGCTCTGATCACCTTGATTTTCGGATGTACATCCATAAACCGTAGTAACGTCTGCATATACACAAAATCTGGGGCTGAATTCTTCACACCAAAACAAGGACAAAAGTCCATATAAACAAGTTGAGTGAAAGAGAATGAAAAGACATTAGAAAGCATCAGAAACCCAGTGCCGAACAGGAAACAAGGGATAAACCTCTCCGCCTGTTCAGAAGAGATAGATAAATAGATATCTATGAATATGAGAGATAGATAGGGAGGATTTTAATCAATTCACCTCAAACAAGGCGATAATGCCACTAAAACACAAGGGGATACTGGGAGTGAAAGAGAACAAGACATTAGAAAGAACCGGAAACCCAATCCTAAACCAGAAACAAAGGATAAACCTCTACTCCTCTTCAATAAATGGAAAGGACTGTTAACAGGACAATAGGCGAACCTATCTACTCCTAGTAATTAACGAGATTGCTTCATTGTAAGCAAGTAAAGTGTAATTTTAGACCTAACCAGCACCTTCCTCAGTATCATATCTGCCTGCTCACGATATGAATATCCTGTTATTGTTAAACGGAACTCTTTTCAGTTAGCTCACTATTACACACATTAAACGTTGAAGACAGACTACCCATAAATGTACACAAATGATAAATGTAACATAGTCTATATGGCAACACAGAGGCATCTACCGTAAACCCAAAAAAGGATTTGCGGACATTTATTTATATGGACTTTTGTCCTAGTTTTGGTGCGAGGAACCCCCCCCCCAAGTTTGTAAAAGTATTTTTGGTACACCCTGTATATTTACGAATGATCTGGGAATGTATTGAATCCACATGAAGGAAACGGTGTTTCGACATATCCAGTTATGGCGCTTTACTCTTTGATAGATTCTTAAACCCCTCTCAAGCAACAACATTCCTTGGTTCTGCCAGTTCTAAGCTTCACGGCTAGGACCCGCCATACTAATAACATCGTAACAATCCACCCATATTCCCACCGTATTCGATTGGGGAGAAGTTCCGCTCGATCAGCTTCTTCCCGCGGACAACTGCTCTGTGGAACCGACTCCCAAGAGGATGTTTCCCTGATCACTACAATCTTAACCTGTTCAAGTCCAGGATTAACCGTTATCTTCCCTTCCTATCCGTATAAACTGCCTCTTAATGTAACCCTCTACCTCAAGTGGCCCCGGGCCTTGTGCTGGATGAGCCTCAATGTAAAAAAAAAAAAAAAGAAAAAAAAAATGCATTTGTTGTTTGAACATTGTCCAACCAATGTAACCTTCGTTCCTAACTTGCAATATTTAAATTAATGAAAAATATCTAATTGAGTACACTAACGGACATTTAAACAAAATTATAGTTTCCAACAAAACGAAGCCGTGTTTATTTTAGTGCTTATGCCATATGTCTGCATAATTAAATTAAAATTGCTTGCACAATTCACATGATATTTCTCTTCCTATCCATTCATGTTTATTTTAGTGCTAATTTCATTTTCCTCCATGAAGAAATAAAATTATTTGCACTATTCACAGTAAATTCCAATTCCTACCCATTCATGTTTATTTTAGTACTTGTACTCTTTGCTTGCATGATTAAATTAAAATTATTTGCACAATTTATAGGGAATTCTCTTTCCTACCCAGTCTGATTTGGTTTTGATATTTTTCATTTTATTAAATTTGTATTAGTTTGCTTTTGCTTATGATTATTTACTTTTTCAAGTGTCCTTTGTGCAACCATAGAACTTTATTTAGTTATAATTTTTTTTAATGCAGTCTTCCTAACAAAAAAAATTAAAAATAAATTTTTCTCTTTTATTTTTCAGGGAATTGCCGGTTTTGCCATTGCATTGACATGCTCCTCTTTACGTCGCAAGGATGATGCCTTGCATATCCGTCAGATCATCGGCTGGCTGCTAACATTGTTCCCTTTCCTCATCATCACCATTTACTTCTTCCACAAAGTAATCCAAGAATTTTCCAAAAAGGACGACTTAAAGGCAGCCGAAGTAAGTTAATAACAATTTTATTAAAAAAGAAGAAAAAAAAGAAGGCTTACCACACGCACACGCACACATATATATAAACAAAATAAGCTATGATATCTCCACAAATATTCTTAAATGTCTACAATTGCAACAGAAGCCATACCAACAGCTTCCCATACTTAATACATCTTGTTTTCACTATCGCGTGGTCATGTGTGACGTCACGAGCTGCGGTGCGATTTTCGCTTCCGCGTCTCGTATACACGAGTTTGTCGTTGCTTGGAAATCTTTCATGCAACAAAAGCAGTATATCATTATTGTTTTGTCCGTGTATTGTTTAATATATTGAAATGTACTTGTCTTTGATAATGGCTTATGTAAGCCGAAAGCTTAGATAGGATTGAAAAACATGTATCAATATGGTGATTTTCTTTCTCTTTCAATGATAATATTATTAAGCTTATCAGGCAATACGAAAGGAATTTACTTTAAGTAAATAGACAAAACATGTCTATATTATTTAATGAAACGTACATATATATATATATATATATATATATATATATATATTACGAAGGAAAAAAATGGACGCACCTATAGACATCGATTTTTTAAAAAAATTTCCAAGACGAGTGAGTTTATTAATACAGTGTATTAATATGGGTGTACATTATACAAGTCAAAAAATGATTTGGTAACAATAACGAACCTAAGCATACTGCCTTAAAGAATAAACATTATCTGGAAAGGAAGAGCGACGAGGGTAAATTGCAACTCTTCCAGTGGCCTAGTCACAGTCCTGACGTTAACCCAATTGGAAACCTTTGATCGTTAATGAACAAGCGTGCCCGTAATACGAAAGTTAACACAGAAGATGAGCTTTTTCACGAATTAAAGGAATGCTGGAAAAATCTGGCGAAATGAAGTTGATTTGCTAAAGAATTTCGTCTATAGCATGCCACGAAGAATTAAGGTCGTTATTAAAGCAAAAGGTTACCCAACAAAATATTAAATCATTTATTGACTTGTACATATGTACGCCTGTATTAATAAACGAATTCTATTACTCACTTGTCTTAGAAAAATACAAAAATCGACTTTCTATGGATGCGTCCATTTTTTGCCTCGCAATATATATATATATATATATATATATATATATATATATATATAATGATAATTATCAATGTGTATTTATATATTTCCTGTCTCATCTGTAATGGGAAGGGAAGTAAATCAACTTTAGTAAATTTATGAGTGATTACTTCCCTTAGTAATTTAAATAATCTGTACAAATAAAATATTTATCTACATTTAGACAAATTGTTATTAGTTCTTCTCCATCGCAGTTTTCGTTTAAAAAGGCGCGGTGGAGTCCGATTGAAGAATCTGAGAGCTGAGTTCGAATTTCAGTCGAGTTCATTACATTCACTTACGTGCTAAAAGCCTTGGGAAAGGTATAAATCTAACTCTTCTCCCCCAGCTATGGATAAATAGTAGGACAGACTAGGTTCTATAGCCTTGGGTGGCAAGCGGTCAAGGAGAAGGAAAAAACTTTGGATTGAAAGCTGTATGTATCTCTGGCAAAGAGTATACTATACATTTAAGGAAAGGATCGTTAGCATTGACTCAATGATCCAATCGACTCTTTATTATTACTTCCCTTAGCCGTTTTAATAATCTCTACAAATAAAATATTTATCTATATTTAAAGAGAATTGTTATACCCCATTACGTTTATTTTTTATGGTTTTTGAAATTTTTTTTTTCAACAGTAATTAAATTTACAAATCAAATGTAATTGTTTCTATTTTACAAGTTTCTGTGAAATTACTTCAAGTAGTAGTTAAAAAGCATATGATAAAGTATTGTATCCAACACCAAAAAAAATATATGAAATGAAAACTTTTTCTATAATATATTACGAGGTTATCAAAAAATAAGCGGTTATTTTTACGATACGAGTGCACTGGCAGATATAATAATGTTCAACACTTATCAAAGTCCAACTCAGAATTTCGTAGTACTTGTTTCAATCTGATGTAAAGAAGATGCATACACCTGGGTTTCCCCTCACAGTAATGATTGGCTGGTGTCAGCCATAAATACAGACTGATGTGGAGGTACAGACGACGCCTATTGTCTACCACTACGACGAGGACCCGTCCATTTCGATTACCTGCTAGATTGTCGTACTCGGTTACAGTAGTGAACAACCACTTTGCTACTTCGAACAAATATATCCCTTTCCGGGACATATCTCTATCCCTGGGATCTATTGCAAAATACTTTCCCCTTCACATGTAGGCAGAAGTACACAAATGCAAAAATTCCCCAATTCCCCATGTATGCGGGGTTTACAGGGAATTTTTGCCCCAGTCTATAGGATCGGATTTGCCCCACATAAAAACGGCCTTGTGCCATATCCAGCCTTGTGGGGAGGCTAAGATAAATAAAATCAGTCTAGATCTGCCGTTTGAGGCAGTTCGCGGCTGACTTGTCGAACTCTCTGCCTTCGGGGAGAAAGTAACCCAGACGGAAGGGCAGAGCTCGCATCTGGGGAGGTAGACAAGCCCGACCCCGTGCATGCGAGGTTTACGGGAAATTTTTGACCAAGCCTACGGTCTCGGAATAACCCCACATAAAAAACGACCACGTGCCACTTTCTGTATTGTGGGGAGGTGAGGTAAATAACCTCAGTCCCGGTCATTCTTGTCTTGAAGTCCGAACGTGTGTCTGCTTGTCCGAGTTCGCTTTTTTGAGTTATTCCCAATTCTTAATCTGTGAACTTTTTGCCATATTACTGTTGCTTAACATTTCATATATTGTTTGCTTGCTTAATATTATCTTTTGTCCTGTTCTTTTCTTGTAATTGCAAATTTGCTTATTGCAAACGTTGGCAATTCTGTTTGTTGGACATTTCTGTTACTTATTTTGTATTTGACTATGCGTACTCACGACACAATATTATCCCTCCAATATAGCAGTGACATGTGGACATTCTCCTCCCAGAGACATGAAGCAAAAGACATGTGGTTCGCCAGACGGATACTGAACATGTTAATACCAAAGAAGTTTTAAGAGAAATAGAAACAAGAATATTTAAAGAAAAAAAAGAATTAGACAAGTGAAATGTCCTGGAAATTCAATGAGTAAAAAAAAAGGGTTTGGAGAATGTGACACTCACAAGATATATTGAAGACAAGAGAGAAACAACGAGTAACCTACCTACATTATTTTAGGTCCTGAGAGGGATAGTGACAAAGCAAACCTTACTAAGACATGCAAAGGATAGGAAGTCGTGGAGGGCTATGATGGTTATATCGTGAAGGGATTTAGGCTGAGAACTTTTATACACACAAACAAACATATTCGACGAGATCCAAAGAAGGATCTGTAATTTAATCAGTCCTGAATTGCCTTCTCGACTTCAGACACTTTCTCATAGACGTGATGTGGCTTCCCTCTCTCTTCATATTATTTTTTGCACTGTTCTTTATTCTTTTCTTTTTCTTGTCATTGCTTATTGGAAATTTTGGCAATTCTGTTTGTTGGACATTTCTGTTACTTTGTATTTGACTATAGCTACTTACTACACAGTTTTTAAATCACTCATCGGAACTTTCGACAAGAACTTTTATTATATATAGATGCAGATTTATCAAATATCTTCACATGCCGTGTCCCTTCAAAACATCTTCCTAGACATTCTTGCTCTGAGTAATGTTTTTCTTTTTATTATAATTTCAGTTTAATAAAATAAAATCAGTGTTAATAGCTCAAATAGTTGTATCCACTAAAAATAAGGTTTATATAGTAATATGATTTAATGTTGGATAAAAAAAATAATGTACATATATATATATATATATATATACACATACACATATATATATATATATATCTGATGTAGCAGCAAAATTGTCCATTTTTTTTAGATTAAGCTTTGAACCGTTGTAACTTAGAAATGATTAAAGATATCTTACTAGAATTCTCTGGGGTTTTATCCAACTATTGAAATCTACTTTGAGCAATAACAATGTATTATTACTCTCTGAGTTTAACAGAAGCACCAGGATGAAATCGATCATAAACGAAGATGACATCATTAATTAATTTGAGCTAAGAATCGGAAGTTCATGAAGGATTGAAATTAAGTTTATATATATATATATATATATATATATATATATATATGACTTCCAGGATCATTTTCAAACTTATTCAAGATCATCTTCGCCCTCTCTAACCTTCTAACTTTCGGTCCTGGAGTAACAAGTTGCCTCACACGTTTCACGTCCGTTTTCATTTTCAAGACATTTTTCATGGCTCTTTGGATTTGTGGAAAAATAAGTGAAATTACCTGCCTATGTTGGGTTGCGGTCAGACGTAGAAAGCGGAGTGTTTGTCATAGCTTGTTTTTCAAAGCGAGACCGCTCCGAGCACTGGCTTTTGTAATCTTTTTACCAGAAGGGATGGTATGTGCAGATCAGCCACATTTTTATTTAAGGCCTGCCTTCACTCCTTTCTAATCCCTTTTTGTGAGATGGGCTTTATGAAAACAGTCGTTCCGCGCGCTCTCTTCTTCTCTCACTATTAATTGAGCCCTGAATGAAATTTGGGTCGCGAAACTAGGCGGTGTTTCGCAACACTTACTCTACTGGACCGGCTTCTGATTTACTCTTTGAGTCGAAAGGAATTTTTGACAGACTGACATAGCTGAAACTTCTCTCTCATGTGCTAAACGTCTTATGAATTGAGTTGGAACTTTTCTAATTGATTTTTAGCTTTAAGTTGAAATGATGGTCCCTCTTCCTGTTGTGACCTCCCGATTCAGTTTTCCTCTCTACTATTCCCTCTTTTTTTTAAAACTCATTCACCATTCTCTTGATGGTTCTTGAATGGACTTTGAAGATGGAAGCCAGTTGGTACCATTACTGAAGGCCTGAATGATCTTTTTCCTCTCATCATTTCTCAGGAAGACAGTGGAGCTAACACAAAATGATTTTAACCTGTTCTCT